GTGTGTACATGTCCTGCTTGTTCTGTTTCTCTGAAAAACCCTGACTAATGCATAGAGTGACAACAGAACAGTTTTTGGGTAGTCCTGCCCCTGGGTCAGGGAAGAGATGGTGAGAGAGTACTGAAACATCTTTCCAGTTCTAATCAGGTGTCTCTTCTATGAAGCAAATAGAAGGGGCTGTGAGTTGAGTACAGGTTTTTCTCAAGCCTCCTCTGTTGCTTTAAAATTCTCATCCATATATTATGCAGCCATGAAAAAAGATGAAATTATGTACTTAACTTGGATGGATTTGAGTCTGTCATATTCAGTGATCCATCACAGAAACAAAGAACTGAGTACCACGTGTTCTCACCCATAAGGAGACCCGGAACTCCTACCTTAATACTACTAAAAAGGGATTGGCAGTAGTGGGACACTGCTGTCGTGGGGGGACATACAATATCAATAAGGGTGCCTGATCCTGATCCAGGCGAAGTGAGGTCCAGTGGGAGGCCCAAAACTTCACCTGTGCCTAAATCATTTATGTATGCAATCCTGACTTGTACCCCACAACTTTAAAATAAAATAAAATTAAAATTAAATTAAATTATCATCCATTCTCTTATCTTACATTTTAACATGAGGCTTCATGTCAGCCTTAGTGTTTGGTGCTGACGAAACATTTCATCTATGACTGCACTTTATTGGCATTTAACAACATGTTATTCTCAAATAGCGACATTCAAATGTCAAAGAAAAAACTCTGGACTATTCATCAACAAATTTGTTTATCAATTCATTATTTACATAACACTATTCACCCCCCAAAAAATGTTCTAAGTACTATACAAACATTACCTCTTTTAATCCTCACAATCAACCCAATTAGGTATGCCATCAATCCTTTTTGTGTGCACAAACACACACAAAAAAAACCTGGGGTCAAACTATACAAATAATTTTACATTGTCTTTTGTAGATTCCTAATTACAAACATGTTTCCCTTTCTTAAATTTTCAAACACATAATTTTAACGGCTATATAACATTGTGTCAAATAAATGTAGCATGATTTATTTAATTTTTTTTATTTTTTGGGCTGATTCCTATTTTTTCGTTATTATAAATTGTGTTTTGAAAAATAGTCTCTTCTGAAAATCTTTACATTTCTTATTTTTCCTTGGATTTTTTTTTTTTTTTTTTTTTTTTGAGTTGGAGTCTCACTTCATCACCCAGGCTGGAGAGCAGTGGCACACTCACGGCCACCCCAGCGTTGACTTGGGCTCAGATGATTCTTCCACCTCAGCCTTCCAAGTAGCTGGAACTACAGGCACACGCCACCATGCCTGGTTAATTTTTTGATTTATTGTAGAGATGAGGTCTCAACAAGTTGCCCAGGTTGGTCTCAAACCCGCAGGCTCAGGCAATCCTCTCACCTTGGCCTCCCAAAGTGCTGGGATTACAGGCGTGAGCCACCTAGCCCAACCTTTTCTTAGGTTTGACAAAAAAAATTTCAGGGTCAGAAAAATAAATTTGGAATGATGTGTGCTTACTTTAGAAGCAGATGGAAATGTCGCTTTCGTGACATCTTTCCCAGTCCTTGATATTATTTATCAATGTCCTATAAACAGAAAGGACAAAAGGAAAGTTTTTGTTTGTGAGAAGGGTATGTATGTGTGTGAGAGAGAGAGAGAGAGAGAGAGAGAGTGAGAGTGTGTGTGTGTGTGTGTGTGTGTGTGTGTGTGTGTGCCTGTTGTACAGTAAAGAAAGAAATATATATGGGGGGAGAGGAAAAAAAAGACATAAATGTCCTTAATAAGAAGTCCAGAGATGGCACAAGTTGCTGCAGCAATGGATATATGCTGTCAGGGGTTAAGAGAAAGAGAGAAATTGTAGATGATAAGTAATATTTTTAGAACTTAAATTATTTAGGTGAGACATTATATAACCTATGCAACTAAATATCAGAACTTGTGAAAAACAGTTAATAGCAAAACTTCATATCAGAATCTCTCCTTTACAAGGAAGCCAAGAAAAATATACAAGTCTATATTAAAATTAGTGTCAGCATCTTTTTTAAACACTAGTTATTTATCCATCTGTTTAATAAATTCTTTTTTGGTGCTTACGGTGTGCCAGTATGCCAGAAATAAAGAAATAAATGAAATCAAGTCCTTGTTCCCAAGAGCTCATTATAAAGTATCGAAAACAAATAGATAATTACACTAGAGATTGATAAGCATCATTCCAGAGACATTAATAAATCCATAAAATAGGAAGTGACAACTCTCCCTAGGAAGCCAGAGGAGGCTTGACTGAGCATTTGAATTAGATCTTGATGGATAAGTAGGAGTCTGCCATGTAGAAAAGGGGGAAAAGGACTTTCCAAGGAAAACGAAGAGCTTGGACAGAATGTCAAGTCAGAGTGTCCCAATCACTATGCCTTGCATGAGTTACAGGTGTGTACCAAAATTCTGATTCAGTCTACCCACAGGATGGCCAGGTAGAACCTGGGCAGCAGGCATCCCTCGGTCAGTCCTCTCCAGCCCTGAACAGCCTCATCTCCTTATTCCCCATGTAATTCTCTACATGTACAGTGATGTGGAAAATGTTAGGAAGCACTCACCCAGAGAAAGGTAACATAGGTTTATAAGACCAGAGTAATAATAAAACCACATTGGAATTGTTAAGAGTTAACTCTGATGGTGACATGATAGCAGCCCGAAATGAAGAAAGACTTTGTCAGGAGAAGTAGGAGGCTGCAATAGATAATATTATGTGTTCAAATATATTTGCTACCTCACCCTAAAGGGTCCCTTCCTCAGGAGGACCACATTCCCACCCTGGATGTCTGGTGTGGCCATGTGACTTGCTTGGCCAGTGGAATAGGAGTGGATAGACTCAGTGCCCTTCCCTTGTCAGCTCCAAAAGTATCATGTAAGTGCCCACTACTTCACTCTCTTTTCCCATTGTCACAAATTCAGCACATCCAGACAAAGTCAGCCTGGAGTAAGGTCAACATGAAGCAGCATTGCCACTGACCTTCAAAGGCCATTAGTAAAAGAAAAAAAATAGATCTTTGTTGTGGCAGACTACTGAAGTTTGGAGTTATTTGTTACATTAGTGTAAGCTGACAAATATAGAACCTGATGTGCCAGTCCAAGCTTGAGAATACAAATGCTGGAATGGGCAGCTAGGCCTCTCAAAGTCGGTACATCAATCAGGGAGCTTCTAAGATGATTGAGTCAGAAGGGAAATACTACTCCAATGGCTCACAATCAAGGGTATGAGAATCACTTGGAGATCTTTGTCCTACCAGGACCAGCCAGAGCATATGCACTAGTGTTCCTCTAGCAACCCTGTCTTTAAGTATTGGCTCAAGCATCTGTTAAGTCTAAATGGGAAGAGATTGGTTTTCTATTAGTAAACCTTGTTTCCCACTTTTCTTTTTTTAGTAAGAGTTTCATTCGCCCAGAATGGAGTGCAGTGCCATGCTCACAGCCACCACAGCCTCGACTAGCTGAGCTCAGGGGACCTTTCTGCCTCAGCATTCCAAGTAGCTGGAACAATAGGCCCTCATGCCTGGCTAACTTTTTTTTAATTGTAGAGATGAGGTGTAGCCAAGTTGCTCAGGCTGGTCTTGGGCCCCTGAACTCAGACAATCCTCTTGCCTCCACCACCCCAAGTGCTGGGATTAGAGCTGTGAACCATCATGCTCAGCTGTTTCTCACTTTCTTTGTGTGTATAATTCAAATGTCAGCTGCCCCTTGTCATCTTTGAGATTTCACTCCAAGAAACAAAGCTTAATCATGCAAGAGTCAGCACTACAGAATTTACTGTGGATTTCAGCAAGGAGATGGAAGAGAAGACTTACACTGCATAACCGACAACATATTGCTAGAGGGAAAAAGTGATTAAATGAGTATTTTCTCCCAAACTCTCTTCTCAGCCTTATAACTAAAATTTTTCCCCATTTTCCCATCCCTATCCCCATCCCTGGACCACTGCTCTACTCCATCTATGAATACACTAAAGAGAGTGCTAGTTTAACCACTCATGCTTGTGCAGGCAATACACTAAGACAGCTGGTTAAAGTAAAATCCAAATCCCTAAGATCATTCTTGTTGATATGTCCCTGAGCCTTCGCTCTCTTAAGCAGTTTACCAGAAGTACAGATATTGAACTCAGCTCCCCAGTATGTGAATTTCCACCAGTGGTGGGAATTTAGGTTCACCGTGGTTTTATTATATTTTTTGAGACGGATCTCACTCTGTCTCCCAGGCTGGAGTACAGTGACACTACTGCAGCCTCAAACCCCTGGGCTCAAGTAATCCTCAGGCCTCAGCCTCCTGAGTAGCTAGGACTACAGGCCCATGACACCTGGCTTTTTTTTTTTTTTTTTAAGGTAGAGACGAAGCCTCCCTACATTGCCCAAGCTGATCTCAAACTTCTGGCTTCAAGTGATCCTCCCACCGTGGTCTCCCAGAGCTCTCGGACTACAGGCATGAGACACTGTGCCTGACCCACAATACTTTTAAAATAAAAAATCCTCTTTGAATATGTGATAGATCTAGCAGATGCCAGTGGCCACTCACATCCTAATATAAGGTCATTTAATTAGCTCCTTCTCTCCATTTGCTCTGGTGAGACAAGAGTCTCAGTGACAGATGGGAGGAAGGTAAGACCAGAGGGTTGAGAGAGGATGATGCCAGCAGCCCTGGTGAGGTCAACCTGAGGATGCGGCACAGCAGTACAACAGAGAAATAGAAGAACCCAGAAGTTGGAAGAGGGCCCCAGAAATTGGAAATGAAAGAGCACCAAGCACAAGTGTTGTCCATTTCACAATCTGGCCCCAGATCAACTTTGAGACGACTTGTATTCTGTCCCCATCATTCCTCTTAAATCTTCATGCAAACCACAAGCAGAAATCAGAATAAATCATCTTTGCAACAGTTTGTGACAATCAGAAATGCAGAAGAAAGAATGTCCCTGTGATCCACCCACAACATCACTGAGTATTACCTTTTGGGTAAGGTCACTGGCTTCATTGATGTACCGATCGCGCTCCTTTTCCAGCTGAAAGATGATCTTTCTCTGCTTTTGAGCCTCAACTTTATAGTTCTGGATTTCTTCCTCCAAGTTTCTCTTTGCTTGTTCATGGAGCTTTACCAGGTCTATCTGCTTCTGGGTTGCACTGACTGCCTTAAGCATATTCTAAAAATAAGAACAACAAAGCAGTAACATTATTCATAATGTTTGAGGATGTTTTGTTATGTTTACCTCCATCTCATCCCTAAAATAATTAGATGCCCTATCTTTGGAATAAATAAATACAACCATATTCTCTACGCCTTATTAAGAGCTTATGTTAATCCTGCACAAGGCACTTTAAATGCACACATGAATACACTAAGCAACCACAATGTCCCTAAGAAACAAATGGGCTCTATATTGCTCCCATTTTAGGGGTAGGAAACTGAGACTAAAGGGTTAAGTTACTTGCTTACAACAGGAAAGTGGCAGAGCCAATATTTAAATCCACAGCTGACTGATGTCAGAGTCTATTCTTTTAAACTCTATCCTAGCTCTAGCCTTTAGTTTATCTCATGAGATTAGAACAACAAAACCTAATCTCATAATTTGAGTTTTGACTTCAAAGCTAAGATTTAAAACTAGCTTATTCAAATGCAGATACCTAGAATTAACATATAATCCAATAATTTTACTCCTGGGTATGCACTCAAAAGGAATAAAAGCAAATCTGTACATGAATATTCATAGTAGTCTACTCACAAAAGCCAAAAGATGGAAACAACCCAAATGTTCATCAACTGATGAATAGATAAACCAAATATAGTATATCCATATAGTGGAGTATTATTCAGCTATAAAAAGGGATAAGTACTGCTGCATGCTATGACATGAAGGAAACTAGAAAATGTTGTTCTGAATGAAAGACGCCAGACACAAAAGGTCACATAGTGCATGCTTCCATTTATATAAATATCCAGAATAATCAAATCCATAAAAACAAAAAGCTGATTAGTAGTTGCAAGGGTCTCAAGGAGGGGAAAATGGGAGTAACTGCTAAAGAGGTACAGGGTTTCTTTCTGGCATGATGAGAATGTTCTGGAACTAGATAACAGTGATGGTTGCACAACATTGTGAATGTACTCAATGTCACCAATGGTAAATTTTGTTATATGTATTTTACCATAATAAAAAATAGCAACCCAGTTATTGGAACAATGCAGTTGCTCATGTCTCAACTCCGTTTCTGATTCAGTAGGTCTGGGCTGAGACCCAGACACTTACATTTTTTTAAAAGCTGTACTGGTGATTTCTGATGGCGAAAAGGAAACACCTTGGGCTGGCTGCCCAAATTTCTTTGAAACACAGAGTTACTAGCATTGCAACCTGGCAACCACGCTCATGCAAAAGGGTTCACTTCCTTAGCCATGTCTGAACGGACAAATCACCCTTCCAAGGGACTTTTTGGATAGGGCCTTTAGCTTTTTGCAACTCAGTAGAAGATGTAAACTCAGAAGATGTTGGTGATTGCTATTACTTGCCATATGGACTAGAAAACAGAAAGACAGTCTTCACTGAAAGAGGAAAATTTGAGAAAAAGCAAAAATTTAGCAGGAAGCCTACCTCTAAAGAAAAAAAGGACTTCCTCTCAAGAATGCCAGGTCAGGTTCCCATTAATTTCCTGAGGCCCGGCTCTACCCTTGAGTTTCATGAAGCACCCTACAGTTCCTTCTTAAATCTCTAACAAACACAGACCTGCAGCTAGGTCTGAAAACCACTAACTATACACAGGTAAAATGGCTATTAAACACTGGTTGGGTGAAGATGCAGAAAATAGAAAAAGTCAACTTTATTTACAAGTATTGGGGTAAACATTTGTTCTATAAAAGATAAAGCCACTTCAACATGACACTGAAAGAACCAAAATATATTCATGTTGCTGCCTGTCAAAATCATGTCACTCATTCTTTGGATGAAGGTGGCATTTTAAGTCAGTGGGAAAAGAATGTATTAGCAATAAAAGATTATTGCATACTGCAGAATAGGGTACTGTGCTAGGCACTAAGAATACATGGCCAGGAAAGAAAAAATAGCACACCCTACCCTAAAGGAAGATTTAACATTAACCAAATCAAACAAACAAATATAAAATTACTGTTGTGCTACATGTCTTATCATAGCAGAAAATCTATTGCTTGTTTACCAGTATATATAAGAGATAAAGTAGATTAAATGTCATGTGTTGGAAATAAATTTAAAAATCTAAGCCCAACATTATTGTTTCTATATACAAACTTATAAGATAAAGGAACAGTTTCCAGGGTTATTAAAAAAAAAACTTCAATGATTTTCTTAAAATATGCTTAGCATATAAAGATCTAATATCCTGCCATTTCCTGAGATTCCCTAAATAGTCTATTTTAGGCTGAAGTGTTATCTATTCTGTTAATGTTTTTCAATTCTGGGATACTTCAAGAAATAATGAAAGTCAAATGGACAAATGGACTGCTTCTACTTTGATGAGATGAAGCTGTCTTGGACAAAAGCCATCAGGCTGTTATGAAAGCAGCTGCCCCTGTTATCCACACCTGGCCTGTGGCTTCTTCCTCCCTGGAGGAAATCCTTGAACACGCAAATTTACATTAAATCCTTGAAAGCAGTTAATCTCCTGAGAGTGACTATCACTGAAAGGGAGGTAGGATAAAGGATGAGCCCTGCATTTAGTAGAGAATCTTCAGGTCTCTGCCTTCAAGCTCCTCCAACTCCTCCCTTAGTTTTAGACCACAGTGAGCTCCAAGGCCAGAAGAGAAAAGACCAAGAACAAAAACCAAAACCTACAACAATCCTGAAAAGATGGAGGAAAGCTTAGACTTTTTATATCACCAACCTGCCATTCTTACACCTAACGCCTCACAGTTAAAATTTAATTAGCACTCACTTGTAATTTTGGGGTTAGCAAAAGTTGATTATAGATATTAAATTCAGAAATTTTGACCAACTGCTTAGGATGTCAAATAGCATACCAGCAATGAAAACAGAATTCACAAAACATTCTGAAATCCCCTGCTTGTTTATATGCTAATTCTCCAAAGTCCTTTTGTGTTCACAGGTGATAATATACTTTCAGTTACAGCCAGTGAATGGTAGACTGTAGGCAGCTGCTTAGAGGAAAGAAAATTAAGCACTATTATTTATTCTAATCTACTTTTGTTTGCTTCACAGTTTTCTTTCCCCATATAACTAGTTATAGCCAGATATTATAGTGCTAAAGAAAAACACTTATTTACTGGTGTTACTGTACAAACTTACCTTATTTAATATGTCCCTTTCTCTCAGAAGCTCGTCCATTGCTTTCCTATCAAGTTCTGCTTGTTTCTTTGATGTTTCCACCTCTAAATCCCCAGGGAGAAAAATAATAATAAGTGTAGTGTCAACCTAAGAGAGAATCTGCTACAGCCAGAGTAATACAAAAAGTACTTTATATGTTTATAGTTATATGAGGTCTGACAATTAATTTCATTCTAGAAAAACTTCTACACACCTCTTTGCCGAATATCACTATGGTCACCTTCAAAGTACTCCCCTTGAGAAGTTCTGCACCGATGCCAGCACCTAGTACACCCATCAAAGCAATTTTGGAAATCTTTTTCTGGATTAGCCATCTGAGCTGTCATCATATTACCCTTGATATCCTGAATGCCATCAAAATGTCTTTCTTTCATTTATCCTTCCTTTATCTTCAGGTAAAGAAAAAAATTGTTGGGGGCCAGATCAGGTGAGTATGCAGGGTGTTCCGTACAGTTATTTGTTTGCTAGTTAAAAACTCCCTCAAAGATGGTGCTGTGTGAGCTGGTACATTGTCATGATGCAAGAGTTCCTTTGGGACAATTGATGCACACACCTATCTCATGCCAAGATTTTCAGTTAAGATTTTCCTGTATCTCTATTGATGTTTATTTGGTCTGCTATACTTCTTACAGTCAGCCAATAATTTTGAAGCACAATTCAACAAATGTTTGCAATGTTTTAGTCAATTCTGCTCATCACTGGCTGTCCTGACCTCTCTTCATCAGTGATACTTTCCCCTCAGAAAAACGTTTAATCCATGTGTACACTGGCGTTTTCTTCATGGCATTATCTCCATAAACTTAGACTAACATGTCCCTGGTTTTACTTCTACTCTTGCCAAGTTTAACAAGAAATGTAATGTTTAATTGTTGCTCTAATTTAAACTCCAGTATTCTCATGATGGCACACAAAAATATGCAACAACAATAATGAACGCCATTCAGCAAGACATCACCACACATTGACATGATCACAGCTGTGAGACACTGATATACCAAGGATATGAAACCTTACCGACTTGTTTGTACAGTGCTGCCAACATAAGCGCATGGTGGCAAGTTTGTGAACTTAATCGTCAGACCTCGTAAAACTACTATTAATTGAGTAGTATGTGATCTTCATTATAGTTCACTGAGGTAGGTTTCCCTGAACAGTAGAAATTGAAGCTTAGAGAGATTAAGTCATTTGCCAAAAATACAAAATCAAGTCATGACAGGACTAAGAGCAGAGGTTTTATTTCTCAGTCGCCAAAAAGTTCTTACTCTTTTCAAATTCTTTTTATTATACACATAAGTAGTAATACAAAGTGAAGTTAGAAATACAAATAAACAAAAGAGAAAATTTTAAATAAACTAGAATCTACTTAATATTTTTATATGTTTCTTTCCAGGCTGTTTCTTATGCAAATATATGTGTGTGCATATAAATACAAACAAATCAATAGATATGTATTTATCTATAAATACACACACCTCAAAAGGGAATCATACCATTACTATTTTGTAGCTTGCTTTTATAATGGACATTTTATAAAGGAATAAATGCCTTTCTAGACTATAAATGTGCATCAGCATCAGAATTTTTAATAACACCATAGTTTTTCACCGTGTGAAAATGCATAATTATTTAGCCAATCCCTCATTTTTAACATTTAAGTTTCTTCCTTTTTTTGTGTGGTTATAGGCAATAACTCTGCTAAAGTTTGTATTCATTTTATTTCCTCTAGAAAAAGAAATCTCGATCAAAGGAGATTTTTTAAAGACATTTTATCTTCTTGCCAAATTTCTCTTTAGAAAATTAATAGCAATTTAAATCCACACCCAAATTACCCCTGGATATCATCATTTTATTTGATCTTTGACAGTCTGATAGATTTTTTTTTTTTTTTTTTTTTTTGAGTTGGAGTCTCACTCTGTCGCCCAGACTGGAGTGCAGTGGCCGCTCCCGGCCACCGCAGCCTCGACCTGCTGGGCTCCGGCGATCCTTCCGCCTCAGCCTTCCAAGTAGCCGGAATTACAGGCATGCGCTACCATGCCCGGCTGATTTTTTGATTTATTGTGGAGATGAGGTCTCGCTGCCCAGGCGGGTCTTGAACCCGCGGGCTCAGGCAATCCACTCACCTCAGCCTCCCAAAGGCGGGGGATTACAGGCTGAGCCACCGAGCCCGGCTGACAGTCTGATAGATTTTTAAAAACCAATATGTCAGTATTTAATTTGCATTTTTTTGATTAGTAATGAAGTAGACTACTTTTTCATTTTTAATGACTATTTGTTTATTTCTGTTTTTCATTTGCCTTTTGCCTACTTTTCTCATGAATTGTTTATCCTTTTCTGTGAACTCAAGAGCTTTTTATATATATAATAAAAATATTCACTCTGACAATCTTTTAGTTCAATTTGTCTTTATCTATAGAGTATCTTGCTACACAGAAAATTTTAACCTTTATTTTATTGACTCTCTCAATCTTGGCATTATGGCTTTAATATTTGGTGTTTTCATTTTCCCAAAAGAAGTAGTTTATTGTCATGCTACCATTTTCTTAATAATGCATACTTCACACTGGTATGAAACAACACCGTATCTCAGATGATAATCTTAGATCTTTTCTGGCCTTTCCAATCATTTCCATTGATCTGTATATTTGGACATCATCACTACACTATTTGATTATTGAAGCTTTACAATACAGTTAAACATGTGGTAAGGCAAATGTTCCTTCATCATCCTTCCTTCCCAGAATTTCATCACTATTGTTATATGTTTATTCTTCTAAAATCAGTTTTTTGTTCCATACAGCATAAATTTCCGCAATTTTCATTGGAAAATTAAGTGTTTAGATTAATTTTTACAGGTTTATATCTTTATCCTATTGAGTTTTCTCATCCAGGAACTTGGTATATCTTTTACATATTCCTTTATACCCCTCAACAGAATTCTGTAGATTTTTTTTATATAAAGATCATGCAGATATCTTGGTAACTTTATTCATAGATATTTTATTACTAGTTACTATTGTGAAAAGAGGTTTTTGTTTTGTTTTGTTTTGAGTTGGAGTCTCACTCTGTCGCCCAGACTGGAGTGCAGTGGCCGCCCCTGGCCACCGCAGCCTCAACCTGCTGGGCTCCGGCGATCCTTCCGCCTCAGTCTTCCGAGTAGCCAGAATTACAGGCGTGCACTACCACGCCCAGCTAATTTTTTATTTATTGTAGAGATGAGGTCTCACCAAGTTGCCCAGGCAGGTCTCGAACCTGCAGGCTTAGGCAATCCACTCACCTCAGCCTCCCAAGGCACAGGATTACAGGCTGAGCCACCGAGCCCAGCTTAAAGAGAGGTTTTTCCATCATATATTCTAACTGATTTTTTGGTATAAAAAAGCTATTAATATCTATATATTTATTTTATAACCTGCCAGCCTACTGAACTCTCTTGTCAGTTCTGGTAGTTTTTCATTTCATTTTTTTGGTTTTATGATAGGAAGCTGTAACATATGGAGGACCCATTCTCCTAACCATTATGCCCAGTGCCCCTCTTTAATCAGAAGTATCAAAAAGAAGCGATCCCTAAGAAGAAATTACAATGTTAATGATACCTATAAAATAATCAGAAGAGTGAATGATGACTTTTATATACATGACTTAAGAATGAAGAATTGGGTTTGACACTGAATGGATAATTTTTGAACTATTGCAAGCAAAAATATAAAACATAAAACTTTAAACATTGGATACAGAACATGCTCTTGTAGTTCCATTTTTCTTCATATCTGTCACAAAAGACATCAGATTGCAAACCCTTGCTAGACTCTAAGTATCCTGTGGGCAGAGTCTCCATGCACCCAGTGCCTAGCATAGAGCTAGCACATAGTCTGCACTCAGTTTATGAAGTGGATGAATGAAGAAACTGTAGACATAAGCTGCATCTGCATCTCAATAAAAGATTATTTCCTGATGTTTCAGAAGGAAAAATATCTACACTTCTCCAAGACTTAAGTGACAAATACTCATATTTCTAATAATTCCATCCAGAGATTTAGATTTTGCTTAACTTTTAGATTATATTTAGATTTTGCTTAACTTTTAGTGAGGCAATGCTTCTGTGCTTTTATGTATGCTAGATCATTCAGTGATTTACAACTTACAGCAGCCTAAATGAGACCAATGGGACACAGATGTGCCTGCCTCGTATATTCATTTCAGTGAAGCCAGAATTCAGTTCCAGATTCTTTGTCTGCAAGTACAGAACTGTTTCTGCTGTACCAAATTTGACAAGTATACTGTACTTTAATTATATTTTTATTCAGAAAACAGCAATATATCTGGATGATGATGGGTTACATTTAATTAGCACTTACTGTGTTCTAGGCACTGCCCGCAAGTACTCTATGTGTGTTAACTCATTTCATCCACCAACCACAAGATGTGATGGAGATGAAATCTAAACCCAGCTAGCTCTGATTCCAGAATTCGTTACTGTACTAATTTATCTGTACCATTCCTTGGCACTTAAATTTTTTCTCCACAGGTCAACTATAACTGGGTTCCTCATATGGCAAAGTACTAACAGAAAAAAAAGGTGTTAGAAGTAATTTATTTCTGTTCCACTGATTATTAGTGCAATATTGTCCCAGATATTGCTAATGAGAAACATTCATTCTAATTTATCCCCTATCTTCCAGGGAAAAGGGAGCTAAGGCAGAGAAGGTCAAGTAGACCTCAGACCTAAGAGTTTAGATGTTTCTTTACTCCACTGACATACATGGAATAATACTTTAGGCTGGATTTGCACTGTGCCAATATAACTTGTTGAAGATTCATTTTTTTTTAAGGTAAGAAGGCTTAGAGTATTCAAAATGACGTCCTTCCACATTGTCTGTTTACCAGTTTGAATGTTGTTTTACTGATTTCATTTAGCATGGTTTGTGTTTGTACACACAGAGCCCTGGATTGAGAGATGACATTAGTCAACAATGAAATGCTTATAAATAAATAAAACCAAGCACAAAATGGTTTACCTCTCTCTAATCCCAAGATCTGATTTTTTAAGGTTTCCTTTTGCTGTTCGACTTCTGCCTTTTGATCTTCGATCTGGTGCAATTTCTTATGGATTTGTTCTCTGATTTTGCTGAGCTTCCCAATATCAAGACGCATCTGATGGGCTTCTTCTTCTTTGGCCTATAATTATTGAGAGATAATTAATCAGGATGCTGCATAAATGAAGTACTGCTGATGGGATGATGGTAAGTTCATAACGAATAAAAAGAAATTCTTCCCATTTTAGGGTAAAGTTATTCTGTGAAATGAAATCAAAGCACACACTGTTTGATTTTGAGAGAAACTGAAAAACTGTCCTCTGAATAAAATATGTGGCTATATAAACTAAAAATAATAAAAAAGACTTAAAAAATCTGATGTTTCAAGCTACCATGCTATAAGATATTCAAACACTCTTTTAGACCCATGGGGCCACTGTAGCTCATTACATACACTAGAGAAGGGTCCCTTCTTCCTCAAAGTATGTTAGTCCATGAATGTACATACAAATAGGTGGACAGGGTAATCTCAGTAGGCAGTCTATGTAATGGCAAAAAGTTACCAGAAAAATAATCCTAGCAAAAGAAAGCACCAGATTTTTGTCTATGGATTTCAAGTTTTACAGATTTTTAAAATTTAAATTCACTTTTTAAATTTTTGCCATTAGAGGTGACTGGAAAAGCAGTTAGGGATTCTTCTGCAAACAAAGGTTAGCAATTATCTTAGCTCATAACAATGAAGAGACTGAAATTAACTGTTCATGTTATCCTCAGATTATTGCTAGAGGCCAAATTCCATTAGGATCAGGACCTGATAACAGAAATAGTCCATCTTTCAAGACTCTCCATTCATGTTATCAAAGGAGAGAATTAATGGCACAAATATTTTTACTTTGATTTCACCTTAGGACCTAATATATTACTCTGACTTTAGTCATTTCATCTCTGCTTCAATGAACTGCATTTTCATAAAGAATGGTTTCAAGTCAACCCATTCGGGACTGCTTTAAATGTTCTTCAGCCTCAGTCCCTATAAGTTCAAATCAGTTTACCTTAAGGCCCTTTCCAACTCTAAGATTCTCTAATTCAGTGATTATTAACCTAGACTCCACAGTTAGACTTCAGAAAAATTCTGGAAACCTTTCATATTTCTGTGATGTACACAACACAAGATGCAAGATGTGCAGATAAGAGTGTATACATATGTTTTAACCAGATTCTCAAAAGAGATTGAGATATAAAACCATTATGGTTCACTGCTTAAATCTGTGTATTGTTCTTACTAGACCACTCCTTTTATTTCCTGCATTCTAACATAACCAGAGTAGGGAATAAGAATTTTTTTTCAAAATTAAAATGATAAACTTAGCACTACTCTGTTAAGCATGTAGGAGTATAATGGGTATCTGAGTATAAACTGTTATCCAGATTTAATTTGCAAGCACTCTTCAATGGGAGCAAAGAGAAAAATGGGGAATGTTTTGAAATACACATTGAGCAAAAGGGAAAATCACGATTCCACAATTCTATAAGTAAATACAATTAGGTTGGTGCATAAGTTCGTAGCATTTTATTGCTGTTGTAAATGGTCTTCATTAAAGCCCAGGGGTCTTCCTGAACATAGAGAAACACTCGGGTCAAAATGGTCCTCTTTGAAATGACAAAACCATTTTCTTGCCATACTTTCCCCAATGGCATTCTCCCCATACAAGTCACAAATGTTTCAAGCTGCCTCTGCTGCTTTTACTTCTCTGTCTAAACTCAAACACAAGAATATGTCGGAAGTGAACATTTTTTTTCATTTAACACTCCTTCTTTAGCCCACAAATAACACTAACTTTCTTTAAATCTGCAAAATGCAAGGCGTATTCACAAGCATAACATTGTCACTCCAGGTGACAAATGGCAAGCAATAAAAAAACTCCCAACACTGTGGTGTTGCCATGACAAACACAAATGCTGCAAACTTATGCATCAGCCTAACTTAAGAATCAACTTCCCCAGCCCTTCCATCTCACCTTTTTCACACAAATAGTAAAATATAATCCAGGTTCTTTGCTACTTATGCATGTGAAGGATTTCTAGCTCTGGGCATCTGGTTACTTGCAAGGCTAATTACAGATATGAACATCTGAGTTCACTTTGGAAATCATTTGCATAACTGTATGCTCAATAATCAGGTTTGTGATTTTTTTAAGTAAGAATGGAAGTTATCAAATTGCTTCTGGGCATAAAGCAATCACTATAGGCTTGCACCTGCTCCTGTGTCAAGGCACTCAGCAGAGTGAACACAGGTTAACCAATCAAGGGCTTCAACCGCAAAGGCAAAGCCATGTTAATAGGTAATGAGGAAGGAAGAGCTGGGGAACAGACATGTAACTTGGTGTTTACTTTGAGCTCCAATGTTTTCTGCTGGTTTTCCTGGGATAGCTGCTCACAAACCAAACCGTGTTGTTCGTTCTCTTGCTGAAGTTTAGAATTTCTCATCTGAAATTGCTCAAGTTCTTTTGCAGCTCTCTCATTCAATATCTGAAAGGTGCAGAACGAGCCGGTTAAAGCTTTTTAAACTGATTATAATACCTTTATATACACACAAGGATCCCCACAAAACTCCTGGGAAGAAAACAGCAACCCCACTTCTTTGTCTTTGTAGAAATTGTTCTTTATCCCTGATGAAAGCGCTAATGCACTCAAATATGATAAATGTTAAATGGCTGAGGAAAATTACACCTTCTAATGAATAACACAGTGAGCATAAATTTTTTTCTGAGAGGCTTGGGAAGTCTTGTTCACAGGTGGTGGATAAATATTTTAATGCCTGTTTGCCATTTAGCAGGCTTTGAATACGCAACAATTGCTATAATCATTGTAAATGAGCTAGAGAGTGAAACGGGATTTATAAACTGTGGGACTCAGAAGATACATTTTCAGAAGCAAATCCCGCATTAACATGCCTGCAACATTTTCAACAACAGAACTTTTCACTAACACCAACACAGTAACAATACTCCTTTAATTCAACTTAAGTCGAAGCTGTGTAACAGCTGTAGAGTGATTTATATCTGCTTGATTTCAAGTCAGCCAGATTTTCCTCTTCTCTGCCTTGATTATCCTGAGCAGACATAATATTATAAAAACAAAGGATTGTACCTTGTGGGACCATTTTTATTGGAGAAATATTGGGGAGGTAGAGGGATAACAAATGAACCGAAGGGGGAATAAAAAGAAGAAAGAGAGATAAGATGGTTTAAGTACTTCCAAAATATAACCTCCATGAGTATAAAAATTAAGCATGAAAAGAAACCATCCAGTGAATAGGAATCAATAAGGACTAAATAAAATGTAATAGGCAATGTTGAAAATGAAATTGTGTTTTACATGAGTCCTGGATATTGCTAAACACAGCACTAAAGTTTTATCCTTATGTCCAAAAACTTCTCTCTATTGTCATGCTCAGTGAGGTCTAGTGCAACCAAGGAACTGAAATTTTTAATTTCATTTAATTTTAATAAATTTAAATTTAAGTAGCCACATGTTCTAGTGGCTACCATACTGGACATTGCAAGTCTATAACTACATGGCAACAACATGAATAAATCTCACAAACTGAATATAGCAGAAGTTAGACACAAAGAATACATCCTGTCATATTTCATTTCTGTAAAATACAAAGACAGGCAACACTGATCTCTGCTTAGAATTCAGGATAGAGAAGGCATTTAAAGGGGAGGATGACTGGGACAGAGGAATTTTTAGAGAGCTAACAATATTCTGTTTCTTGGGCTGGGTGCAGGTCACCAAGATGTGTTAGAGTGGTGAAAATTCATTAAGCTGTACACTTGTAATATATATACCTTTCTACATGTATATTATAGATCCATCAAAGTTAAAAAGAAATTAATTAATCTGTTGGAGCTGGGAAATTTAAAAGAGGGGAGCATAACTACTTCATAAGAGCTGTTCAAAGACCAAATTGTAATAAGTTTTATATCACCAACATCAGTAGTGAAGGAGTTTGCTGCTTTCCAAGAGCATCCAAAAGGTACAAACAGGCATGAACAAAGGCCTCATTCTTGATATCTCCCCGCTACCAGTCCAGTCCACACCCAAGTCACCTTCTGCTCCTTCAGTTGCTGCTCCAGCTTCTGAAGCTCCTCCTTGCTCTTCTGCACATACTGCTGCAGGGCCTTAATTTCCGTCTGCCTGGTGTCCATGTCTGTCTGGATCTGCTTGAGTTCTTTCTCTAATTTTTCCTTCTTTCGGGACTCCCGTGAAGCTTCATTCTGACGTTGCTGGATTTCTTGTTGATACTACAAGGCACAGAAAGAACAGGGAAGAAAGAGATGATCACTGGCCATGGCAGGTGTCAGCCAGCCAAGCTTTTCCCTCTTTCAATTCTAATATTGTCAGGGCAGTCACTGTTCAGTAGCATTTCCTTTTTAGGAGAGACATCCTTGAGCCCCAGTGTTCAAATTTATCAGGAATATTCTGTATTGTGTTTTCAGGACATTGATACCAAACATCCACTCGGATGGTGGACAATAAATCCACAAAGGGTGTTATAAAATCAACTATATATGGAAACTCAGAGTTCCAGAGGCACTAAACATGGAAAGAATTCATCCCATTCTCCATCAATAGGGACTAAATAAAATGTAGCTGGCTGCACTAAGTATGAAATTGTGTTTTGCATTCCCCTGGGTATTGTTAAATAGAGCGCCATAGTTTTATCTTGATGCCTAAATTCTATGAATGAAGTCTCATGTTTTTCTCTTTAAGACTACACATTATATATGATCTATTTGACTTTTGGCTTTAAATAAAAGTGTTCAGAAGAATTCAGCTAGATGGCTTTCTAATAAAAGAAAGGAGCCAAAGGAACTACTTCCACCATCCCCAGACACTGAGCCCCTTAGCCTTCACAGGGAACATCTTTCTGAGCCATAATTATAAGCAAGGAGTTCCTGCCTTAGAGGCTTCTCAGATAGAGAACACGGAGGAAAAATGGCTCAAGAAAAGCTCCTTACAAAAGAACAAACCAGAAAAACCACCAGAACCCAGGATGCTTCATTTGGGCACAGAAGGGTAAATTGAAGAAAGGATCAAGACAGAAAGAGACTGAGGAAGGACAAACATCCTCTGGAAGGAAATATTCCTTCATCTGCCATCCGTGGCAGACCTGACTTATGGTGTGTTCAGCCTCCTCTTTCGATCGCTCCGTTTCTTGCTGCTGTTCAGAGGTCTGAGCTAAGGACTCTCGTAATTTCACCACTTCTGATAGGAGCTGGTCTCTCTCTTTTGTCACTTCTTCTTTGAACTTCAGTAAATCTCGAATACTAAAAATAAAGAACGCAGGAGTCAGACTAAACAGTCATCTGTTCAGGGGTCTTTCATATCATCCTCTAAGCTTGTTTTCATGGAGTGTTAAAGAGAAAAAAATCTTTATGCCCTGACACGGAAGCTGTTTGTGAGATATTAACTGAAAAGAAGTGCAAATAATAATATGCATAGTATGGTTAATTTTATTTTAATTTTTAAGAAAATGTAGGCCTGGCACGATGACTCACACTTGTAATCCCGCTTCGGAAGGCTGAGGTGGGAGGATCCCTTGAGCCCAAGAGTTCAAGATCAGCTTGGACAACATAGTGAGACATCGCATCTCTACAAAATTTTTTTTAAAAGATTAGCAGAACATGTTGGCACATAGCTATAGACTCAGCTACTCTGGAAGCTAGGATGGGAAGATCATTTGAGCCCAAGAGTATGAGGCTGCAATGGAGCTATGATCATGCCACTGCCCTCCACCCTGGGTGACAGAATGAGATCACTGGAAGGGAGGGAGAGAGGGAGGGAGGGAGGGAGGGAGGGAGGAAGGAAGGAAGGAAGGGAGGAAGGAAGGAAGAAAACAGTGTGCCCCAGTGTTCAAATTTATCAAGAATATTCTGTATTGTGTTTCAGGACATTGACACCAAACATCCACTCTGATGGTGAACAATAAATCCACAAAGGGTGTTATAAAATCAACAATATATGGAAGCTCAGAGTTCCAGGGGCACTAAACGTGGAAAGAATTCATCCCATTCTCCATCAATAGGGACTAAATAAAATGTAACTGGCTATGCTAAGTATGAAATTGTGTTTTGCATTTGTATGTGTGTGTGTGTGTGTGTGTGTGTGTGTGTGTGTTTTCTAAGCATTTTTATAGAAGCCCAGAAAAATAGATACCAATCAGGTCATTGATTATGTATGAAAAATTTAGGATAGAAAGTCAAAGTGAAGGGAGGGGGGATGATACCTTCCACATCTTTGTATTACTTGACTTTGTTACAATAAGATTATATTACTCTTGCTAATTCTTGCAATTAATCCTAAGGATATGTCAATTTAGGAAATTATTTGTTTAATATATCCACTGGAGGACTATAATCACAGCTGTGAAGTCTAGAGTGAAGCATAAACATAAGAAAATAATATGCATTGCCAGAGATTAGTTTCTTCCAAAGGGACACCACCCAGATAAAACGTTCCTTCTCAATAATAAAAGTTGGAAAATCATTCATGATGATCGTTTTTGGAAGGTATGTGATAATATTCCTTGATTTGAATTGTAAATCAGTTACCTCTGAATTTCAAAAGCCATCCATATGATTTGGCATGACTTTCTGCAGAATTAGTGTTTTGCAAGTGGAAGCTCTGTGTCTGATATGACCTCTGAAGCAGATTGAATCTAGAGCAAGGAAGCTCTTAGAGCTGGGAAAGCAGAGGAGAACCTGATCTGTAGACTCTTGCAGCTGACAGTCATCAAAAGACTGCTCAAAACACAGTAAATTGACGAAGTCTATTTATGTAATCACCTATAATGTAACATAAATGTTTAATAAGAAACCTTCAAAACCACACTCAAACTCTTCTCCAGAAACAAAGCCTTAAATGTGGGTAACAATTTAGGAATAGGTATACAAGTGGACACCAGGCAAAGTTTGAGCCTCCCTTTGGTCCCCTCTTTGCCTGGTTTGAGATCAGGCACCCTTATTAATGTTGCATCCCCAACCCCTCCCCACCCTGGCAGTATCCCGCTACTGCCAATCCCTTACTTATAATATTATGGTAAATGTCCAAAAACCTTAGATTCTAAGGTTACTATGAAGAGATACACCTACACCTGAGCACATTGTTAAAGATAAAATTATGGACTGAATTGTTCTTCGTTCTTCTCCTCACCCTCCTACCTCCTCCTATCTGAATCGGTTCTCCGAATATGTTTGACTTCTTTAATAAGAAGACAAATTTCATCACTACAGGGATCATATTTTCTGTTTGTAGTTCCTGTTCCCTCCCCCCAACACCTGTACTAAAACTATCTGTCAATGTTGGATCAATGCACCAAAGAAATAAGAAACAGAAAGTACAACATTAGATTTGGTTAAGCAGCCCAAGGAAGTGAATGCTCATTTTGAATTTATTAATTGAAGTGATGTTTCATATGGCCTACACAGTGCTAAACTCCTAGAGGGGTTATAAAGGTGTCTTCCTTCAGGGAGTTCACAGCCTAATGAGTAGAGAAGCATGCCAACAAACATCTTCAATACAATGTGATTAGTGTTATGCCTGAGGTAATTGTTGGGTCCTATGGAAACAAAGAAAAAAGTGATTTTCTGTCTTGTCACTGGGGTCTGGAGGTGGAGAAGAGGTTAGAACAGTGATGCTTATGGTGACGAAGTTAATTTGGTGTTTGTGATGGGTTTTAAAGGAAGAACAGAAGTTCACAATGAAGAGAATAGAAGAAAAGACATTCTGAGCATAGAAAACAGCAGGTGCAAAGGTATGGAGGTATGATCAACACAGTGGGCAAGACACAAGGCTAAAGAGGCTGACTGGGGCAGATCCACGAAGGGCTCTGAATGACATCTTCAAGAGTCTGGGTTTTATGCTTTGGGTATGGGTAACTATTGAAAGTGTTTCTGCTGAGGATTTCAAAAGCATAAATCTGGTAGTAGTGGCAGAATACAGAGGGAGATGTCTTCCTGTAGACCCAGAGACCAGTTAGTAGGTTACCACTAAATCCAAGAGAGAAAAGGGGGCATGAGCCAAGGCAGTAGCACTGGTGACAGGAAGAAAGGAGAGGTGATGCTCAGAAGACCAAATCAGCAAGACAAAACTTTAAGGGATGAGGGAGTGGATGGGGTGAAGAGCAGCTCTGTTTTCTGGCCTAGAATCAGAGAGGTTGGGAGGATAGTAATGAGGCTGATTGTGGAAGTAGATGGGAGGAACTGAGACACTGGGCAGAAAGAGAGCCAGATCCATTCCACACAAGTTTGAGAGAAATAAATGTTTAAATCTTTACTTATTTTCAAACTATAGTACTGATTCTTGTAGAACCAGAAGTTTAAGAAAAACCAGAGAGTAGAAGTTCTTGGTTTTGGAGAAAGAAAGCTCATTATTAAAAAGAAAAAATAGCAATAGAAAACAATCTCCGGGAACTCAACGAAAAAAAGAGTCATATTACAGAGAATGTTCAAGAAGACATTGGCAAGCCCCAGGCTGTCTGTTGAAGAAAGAGGCCTCTGCAAAAGCGAGTTCAACATATATCAAAAAGACTATGACCTACTTGCTGTCCTGGTCCATTGATAGTCCAGACCCTTGTTCAACTAGTTTGGTCAGGTTCACTATTTCCTCTTTCAGGGCAAGAATCGTCTCCTTTGCCTTCTGCTCCTTATCATAGGCCGAGTCCACCATCTTCCAGGCCTTTTCAATTTCCTATATGGGCCATGGAATATCAGTAAGGAAGACCAAACTGGGTGCCAGATACAAAATAAACTAGCAGATGGAGTAACACCATGACTATAGTATAGTAGTAATTCATGGGAATAGAATATTATATATCATACATTATGTATAAGTCTGTATTAACGTATTGAATTGTTCAGCATGAGCTAGTCAATAGTAAACAGTACATTTAGAAAGGGGAACTGGCAAAGGGTATTTTTTCTTGTGTAGGTAAGTTAACTACAAGGCTTATATACTACAAGTTTTGTAAAATTAAAAATGAATGCTCGTGTACTTTCCAAGTCCAAATTTTTTAAAAAATAAGTTTCATCACATAAGGAATGTTCATACCTCCAAGTCCTAAATTGATAGATTGAATTGAGCCTCCTGATAAATTTGCAAATAAAAAAAATATTTTGTTCTCAGGTCCCAAGTGAGCTCCTGGATGGCAATGTGAGCTCCAGAACAATCCACAGCAATGCTGTTCTTTGCTGCTACCTAACTGTGCCCAGCCACCTCTATAATTCCCATTTTCAGAAACCCAAGTCCAGATCTCCTCATCAAACACTTACAGGGGAAAAACAAAGCCCCTAGCAGGGAATGGAAACAATGACTCATGCTGCTTCTGCTTCCTTACTGTTAAGAAATGCAATGTGGAATATTGACATAAATACTTCAAAGTGAAGTATAGCCATTCGAGTAAAGAAGCAAAACACAGTAAGTGTTGCAATAGCCTTTAGTTTTAGCTTACCACTTAACGTTTTTACAAAACTTTTTCAAGTGGAATGTAGGTCCTCTATACAGATGAGACCCTATAAGCTTTAGGTTAAAATATTCCACTTTTGTGCTGACAAGGAATAAAATGGATGGGAATGTATATTTAATAAACTCATGCTATTGCATTAGACAGAAAGATTATTTTTGGATAACTATAGCACATAATTTAGTGATTCAAAACAAAATATCAGTATGTGGAATATGTTCTTATGTAGCAACCATATGTGCTATTTTTGGCAAAACAAATGGAGGCTATGTAAATGAAAATATGATTACATAAAGTTGTATCCAAATCAACTTCACGAATTATATTTTAATCCATTCGTGTCTTCCTTTTGCAATTTATCAGCACCATGCTCTAACCAACTAAGCTAACTGTCCAATCACCCTTTTGCAATTTAAATTTACAGTGAAAAATGTTTTTTCCCCAACATAAAATGACTTAAAGCCTTCTTATATTGCTTTTTCAGCTAGGAAAAGAAGAAAATGACAATAGAGGGAAAAAAGACACTAAAAAAAGAATAATTTCTAAGAAAACAACAGATAAGCCATCTTTTGTACTTGTCTTGAAAATTAATTTGAATTGGGTGACATATAATTGATGATAACAAAGGGAATTATCTAAAAAGTTTGTAAATTATTTCTCATATTTAGGGTTTTAATTATAAATTAAAATCTCAGTCTCTTATCACCGTGAGATCAACAAGGAACATTTATGTTTTATCGTCAAAATAAACACATTTAAGGATGAAAAAGGTTGGGCTTGGGGCTTAGTGGCTCAGCCTATAATCCCAGCACTTTGGGAGGCCGAGGCAAGTGGACTGCCTGAGCCCGCAGGTTCGAGACCCACCTGGGCAACTTGGCGAGACCTGTCTCTACAATAAATAAGAAATTAGCTGGATGTGGTAGCGCACGTCTGGAATTCCAGCTATTTGGAAGGCTGAGGCAAAAGGATCCCCGGAACCCAGCAGGTCGAGGCTGCGGTGGCTGTGAGTGTGCAGTCTGAGCAATAGAGTGAGACTCCCACTCAAAAAAAAAAAAGGATGAAAAAATATAGTGCAAAACAAAGCCATATCCCTATTCGCCTAATTTGAGGAATTGGGAGGTTCAACAGGGAAGTAAGGGGATACTAGGAAGAAAGGTTATGAAGGTCATGAAAATTACTATCTGGAAATTCTCAAGGTAATCTCTCCTAGAACAAGAGAAAATATAGAAATATGAAAATATTTCTAACAAGCTATCATCATGAGATACTTGATTATTTATCTTGCACCAAACAAAACATTGAGAATGTTAACATTTCTTTTACTTAACTCTATGTCTTTTTGCTAACCCATTATTTCCCAGAAACCAAGTCAGTAAGGTTCTCCATCATTTTCTGCATGATGTAGTTCACCCAAGCTAATTATTTTCTTTGAAAATGAACCATTATTCCTTAGGCTTAATGAATATAGAAATCATGTAAATTTTTGCCTAATAATTTGTTTACTACCAGCCCAGAGCTGCCAATTTAATGAAAGAATGATGTTTTAAATCCAGCTTTGTTCTGTTTCTAAAAGATCACTGACCTTCTTCAGAGATGCAATGGTGGTCTGATCGTCCTGAGAGAGCTTCAGGGCAGTGGCAACCTTCGCAGAATTCACCACAATCTCTGCGTTTAGCTCTCTGCATTTGGCCATGAGACGTTTTTCATTGTCATAAGACTTTTTCATGACAGCATGAAGCTTCTCATATTCAATCCTAAACTTTTCCAGACTTTTGTCTCCCGAAAGTTCATTGAGAACCATTTGAAAATCTCTTTCGATTTCTTCATAAGCAGTTTCTTCTGACACTAGTTTTTCACCCTTTTCCTGGATAAAAGAGCAGGGATGGGAAGGGGCATTACAACATTTACACCATTACTATCAAAAATTACTGCTATTATCCCTGAATAAAAGGTCTTCATACAAGTAAAATAAAAGCCACTAACAAGCAGAAAAATGAAGACTCTATGGTGGGAAGTATCTTTCTTCAACCCCTGATGCATGTATATACCATATACACATATATATATATGCACATCACACATTACATGTATACATTTTACACATATATCTGCATTGGGATATATATGCAGAATGTATATGCATTAGGATAAGAGTATTTCCTATCACATGATGTCGCTAGAGATTAGATTAAATGAGTCATAGATGTTAAACATTTAGCCAAGTGCCTGTCAAACAGTAGGTACTCAATGAATTTTGATAACTGCTATGCTTATTCCAAACTCTGTTCTCTTTTTATCGAGTCCTGCTTCTTGCTTCCCCAAGATTGCAGAAGAGAGCCATAGCGTGTTGAAGTCATAGATATGTACATCTTGGCATAGACATCATGAAATCACACAAAAAATTTAGGCTAGATCATCCTCACCAGCCTACTGAAATACCCCTATACAATGCTTGTGGGACTTTTCCACATTTGCTTTGGTTAGCTTGCCAACAAATTACTTAAAAATATGAGACTGAGTATAGACGTAATTCAAGCAAATCTGGCTACGACTTAGGTGAGAACCCAAAAGTTAGTGCTCAGAATTCTTATTTCCCTAGTGCTATGGGTGAAATTTTGTCCCCCAAAAAGGTATGTTGAAGTCCTCTGTGAATCTGACCTTATTTGGAAATAGAGACATATAATTTGTTAAGATGAGGTCATACTGGAGTAAGGTGGGCCCTAACCCAATGTGGCTGACTTTCTTACAAAAAAGAAAAATCTACACACAGATAGACGTGCACACAGGGAAAACATGAAGATGGAGACAGAGACTGGACTGACACAGCTTTAATCCAAGGAACGCCAAAGATTGGTGGCCACTACCAGCAGCTAGGAAAAGGCAAGGAAGAATTACGCTCAGACTCTCAGAGAAAGCCTGGCCCTGCCAGCGCCTTGATTTTGGACTTCTAGGCTCAAGAACTGTGAACCCATAAACATCTGCTATGTTAAGCCACACCATTTATGGTACTTTCTTATGGCTGTTCTAGCAAGCAAATACATCTATTTCTTATTAGGTACAGAGCAATAATTTAAAAATAATAAGTATGGTTAATATATTTATTCATTCATCCAGCAAACATTTATTGAATACCTGCTATTTGCAAGCCCTATGATGATGAAGCCTATAGGAGATACCAAGATAAGGAATAAACAGCCTGTCTACAGGATATACTTTAATTGTTAGTAGAGTATATATTCAGATAGTGAAAGTACAGTATAGAATTTGGTCCCTGCCTTAAAGTGAATCCAAAGTTCTGTAAGAACCCACGAAAAGGGGGAATTACTCCTAACAGCAAGAATAAATCTTACAAAGAAAATGATTTTTGAGCAGGCCCAGAAGAAAGAGTGGAATTTTCACAGGTGAATATGGGAAAAGGGGCATTCCCAGCAGACAGAAAAGCTTGAGCAAAAGCTCAGGACCAAGCAAATATCCAAGATGGCTAAAAAAATAAGAGGTATGTCAGGGAGAAGGCATAAGACTAAGTAGGGAGTTAAGGACAGATCATGGATGCACTAAATGGCATTCTAAGGCCACAGAAAACCACTCAAGACTTTTGAGCAAAGGACTGATAAGGTTCGCAAGGCCTTATTTATTTTGCAACATTGTGATTTGATATTCTACACCAAAAGGGGCTTTGGCATCAACACCCCATTGCGCATCAAAGAAACCAACTAAGACAATCTCTAATCCCAATAATAAAGCAAAATTCCAATTCACCCTGGAGATTTTGAGAAAGTAGTCCAGTTTACCTTCTGTTTTGACAAGTCTGCCTTGCCCAATATGGAGAAAGTCTACATATTTTTGGTTTTCAAAACCACTTGTACTATTAATTAAATCCCTAAAGATGACATGAAAGCAAAGCGCAGCCTTTAGAGATCAAAATAAAATGTAGAATCACAGACATATCTATAACATTTTGTACAACTTCAGTACTAATTTTAAATTCAACAGAGATTTTTCTTCCTGACTAAAAGCAGATTATTGCAAAGACCACAATGTAGTAATTCCACAAAGGAGGAAAAAAATCATATTAATGAAATATGCTGCTGCTGCTGCTTTGTGCTTCTCCCTTGTTGACGCTAAAGATAAGCACACACAAAAATTTATCATGACAATGTTCTCGGTTCCATCCCTGTAAATGGTATTAATGTCAACACTTGATCACCAGCCTAATGATTTGTTTGCAGACCAGGTTTTCCCTGTACACCTGGCACTTAGCACAGGAGTGGGAAAATATCAAAGAAAGAAAAGTTTTAAAGAAACTTATGAACAAAAGATAGTTCATTTTTGTCGTTAAAAAGTCTACTACTGGGTCAGGTGCAGTGACTCATGCCTATTATCTCAGCACTTTGGGAGTCCGAGGTGGGAGGATTGCTTGAGCCCAGGAGTTCGAGACCAACCTAGGAACATAGTGAGACCTCATCTCTACAAAATGTTGTTAAAAATTAGCTGGGCGTGGTGATGCGTGCCTATAGTCCCAGCTACTCAGGAGACTGAGGGGGAAGGATCAACTGTGCCCAAGAGGTAGAGGCTGTGTTGAGCTGTGATTCTGCTACTATACTCCAGCCTAGGTGACTGAGTGAGACCCAGATGCAAAAACAAAAATTAAGTCTGCTTAATATTAAAAGCAAAGCAAAAGTAATCACAACTGTGACCAATAAACTGTTGGTATCTATACTATTATGGCATATAACGGTATCTGTTTTTGAAGCACAGAATCAACATAAACTGATCAGAGAACTGTGACACTCCTCGATTCATCACCTGGTCACTGAATATTTGCTGTATGCCAGGAACTGTCCTAGGTTCTGGGAATACCAATTAGTAGGTGAAAAAAGAAAAAAGAGAGCTGCAGTATATGATGCAGTCAGAGTGGAAATAGATAACTGTGAAAGTGGAAGTAAAAAAAAGTTGGCTGAGGTCAAGTGACAAGAAAAGTAAAAGAAAGGGAAAAAATAAGAGATAATGGAAAGAAAGGGAAACAGGAATAATTAGTTCTTAAAAATAGTATGGAGGTCTATGTATGGGGAATGAAGAAGAATAAAATAAAGATGACTAGTGATGGAAAAGAGAAGAAAACATTCAAAAGCCATAATGGAAAAATAGAGAACTAGAAGGAACAAGAGAAGAATATGGGAGGAAAGGATATGAATGAGTATGCGTAGTGGGGAGAAGTGATGCGACCACAGCAACATGAGTATCAGAGAGAAACGGAAGTGATGGAGCCCAGGAGCAAAGGAGATGGAGGACATGAAAGGGATTGTATGGTAAGTAAAGGAGAGAGCTGTTAACCACAGGCAGATGGAGTTCATAAAGGGAGAAAAGAGCTGAAGGAAGTGGAATGATGGGGATGTGAATACTGTAGAAGAGACAAGATTAAGGGTGAGGGCATGATGGTACTAGGGAAATTGGAACTAGGACTGACATCATGGAATAAGACCTGTTCAGTTGCACAGTGTCCCTTGCTCATAAAGAGCCCATTCTTGGTTGAATGATATGCTGATCCACCTTAAAATTCTTAATGATTTTTGAGACGGCTTTGTGTTTTCCTTTTGCACTGGGCCTCACAAATCATGTAGCTGACTGAGAATGACCATGGTATGGTATGGGTGATAAGGGGAGGACTCTGATGGGGCCATGAAGGACTTGGGAAGAGCCATAGTGGATTGGTCTGTGAATGGTTAAGTGATGACAGGGGCTACTGAGGTTATAAATAAGGGAGCTAATGAATAGGCAGGGGATCATTGAAGAGTTGCAGAAATGACCCCTCATCCGAGAGGCTGATGACAGGGTATACTGTAATATGCGGGAGTGAAAGGGGGTCACAAGATGATAACACAGCAGTTAATAACCTCGCAGGGCAGTGGTGATGGGCTGAAGAGCCTTAATAAAGACGTGTGACAGCAGGTGATCACAGTGTGACAGTTGAACAAGAAGAGCCAGTGAGCAGGAATGACTGTGGACATCTATGAAGCCTTCTTCCAGGTTTCGCCGGTCAGGTGAGACATCTCCAAGATTTCTACGTGAACCTCTCTTATGGTGTGCATGTCATGTGTGGATCTGGGAGCTCGTGAATTTTTCACCGCGCTTAGCCGAGCGCCAATGTAATAGTGGGGAAACAGAGATGTCCACCCTCTTGAAGGAGGAGCAGAAGATAATGGGGCCAAAGCCAGCGGAGAAAGGCGGGGATGTGAGGGTGCAGGTGGGAACAGGATGTTGATAGGGGAAATGCTGGAATTAGTGTCTGTGACAGCCAAGAGCAGGAGAGGGACGATGGGGAGGAGTCAGGCGAGAGGTAACAGAGGGGTGGTAACTCCTGACCTCAGCCATCCTGGGGCTCTTTGGGGGCGGCCGCAGAGGCTGCTGTGGAGATCGCAGAAACCGGGCCGAAGCCTGAGGATGGGGCTGTGCACTCCCTCAAGCGTCTAAAACCGCAACACGTAATCTCTACCGCCCGAACAGGGCCGAAACCCGGCGCTTGGCGCGTCCTCCCGTCGCCTGGCAACCGTCACGCCCTGTCGGGGCGCCAGCGGGCGTTCGAAAGGGGCGGGGCTTCTGAGGTCGGCACTTGGGCGTTGTTCCTCAGAGAAAATGATGCAAATATGGTCTTCATGGGGCGGAGCCAAGGACATGAGGAGGCGGTGCCTCCGAGAGGCTGGGAGTAGTCCCAAGCTGTGCGCAAAAATGAGAGATACCATAGAGAAAGAGGGCGAATGGGAAGAGGAAACACGGGAAGGAGAGAGTGGGACACTGGGGAGCCAGTAATGAAAAGTCAGGGACGAACTCTTAGAAGGAAATGTGGAGCGAAAGGTTCCGGGTGAGAGAAGGGCCGGCAGCTGCCCTCTGCCCTCTCTGACAACAAAGAATAATCTTATTTTCAGTTAATGCAGCCTTTATAAAGCAGCTATTGTGTAAAGACAGGGAGGGGAAACTAAGGTAGAGAAAATACAGATCCTGCCTTCAAAAAGTTTAGTCACTAGGGTGAGAAAAATAGGGCGCAAAGCTACAGGCGCCCTGGAAAAATGCATACAGAACCACATGGTGAAACTCACCCTTTCATCCGGAAATCCTCTCCCAGGACCGTTTCTTCTCCCACTCCTCCTCCACTTCCTTTGGAGGAAGTACAGAGAATTGAAGTAATTAACTTCCTTGGTTCATGAAATGCGCAAGATCCCTCTCTGGTTTTATTTATTTTCCTCCTGTATCCCTATCCTTACAACCCTCATCCTCAGCCCCATAGATGTTCATGCTACTGTGCTTCGATATGGATTTTTGCAAATGTATAGCATTTTTATCAGTGTAGTTTAAAATCTTTTTAGTAATGGTACTGAACTTTAGAGATTATCTTACTTTCTACTTTTTTTCATTCAACATTCTTTTTAAGGATTTGTCCTTGTTGCAGTTGGTAAAATCCTACTTCGTTGCTTCTGATTGCTGCACTGCATTTCTTATAGGGCAGCCATCACATTTTACTTCCATTCCCCAAGTGTGAGATAACAAGGCTGCCTTTAATTCTCCAATATCACAAATAGCACAGCCATGATCATCCTTGTCTATGGTCCCTTTTAGACCTGTGTGCAAAGTCCTCTGAAATATATGCCAAGGAGTAAGATTTTTTAAGTCACAGGGGACGCATGAGGCCATCACATTGATTATGCAGAATAAGACAAAGGATTTTACTGCAAAAGATGTCCAGTCAAGGGAACTGAGAAACAGCCTCTATTCTCTTTCCCATGTCATGTGCACTGTGTCCTGGCAGAGAAAGACGTGTCTATTTTATTCCCACAGAAGCTTTGTTCCCTATCCAAGTCGTGAACCTAGAAGGTTGTAACTATCTAGAGGGTGTACCTTTTTCAAACTCGTCTGCCCAGAAATGAACACTGTTTTTCAACAAACAGTGATACCTAATAGCCTAGTGGAAGTTCTGGGTACTTACCAAGTACCATATTGTAAAATTGTATACCAGAATTATTACCCTACACTATACTCTAATGTGTTGTACAGGGTTTCTGTCCCCGACTCCCATCCTTTTCCGCATGTGGTAGTTTTTTTTTTTTTTTAATTCATAAACACTTTATACTGTTTACCAAGTACCAGATACTATTCTAAGTGCTTTACAAATACTGACATATCTAATTAGTCAATTTTCTAACTTCTGTCAATATGATGGAAGTAGTGTCAACGCATTTTTGCTTTCATTTTCACTTCTGTAACTACTAGTGAAATTGAACATTTCTTTATACATTCATAGGCCATATGGGGTCTCTGTTTGTGAACTGCCCATCCATAGCCTTTGACTGTTTTTCTACTGGCCTTTTTCTTTTTCTTGTACAGGATGTCTTTGTAAAGTGTGAGCATTAATCTGTTTTCAGATACTGGAAACTTTTCCTTTATGTCTTTAATGGAGCAGCAATTCTTAATTTTGATACTGTAGCCCTTTATCTCTCTCCTTTTTTTTTCTTTTTATATGATTTTCTTGGTATGATTGAGTCCTTCTCAACCTTAAGGCCATAAGATATTCTCCAAAATTTTCTTGTATTAGCTTCATAGTTTTACTTTTTCAGTTTCAGTTTTTAATCCATCTGGAGTTTACCTTTTTATATGATGTGAGATAGGAATCTGATTGTATTTTTCTCCATGAAGTGAGGTAATTTTCCAACATCCTGTATTAAACAACTCATTCTTTCCCAATTGGTTTAGGAAAGTTTCCAAATAGACAGGTATGTTCTGAGCTCCCTGGTTTGTTGCTGTGCTAGTACCTCAAGGTTTTTGGGGTTTTTTTTAAACTATGATTTTATAGTTAGTCATTATAGTTGAAAGACAAGGACAGGCCAGTGGCTCAAGCCTGTAATCCCAGCACTTTGGGAGGCTGAGGCGAGAGGATTGTCTGAGCTCAGGGGTTCAAGACCACCCTGGGCAACTTGGTGAGACCACGTCTCTACAATAAATAAAAAAAATCATCCAGGTGTAGTAGCACATACCTGTAGTTCCAGCTACTTAGAAGGCTGACGCGGAAGGATAGCCTGGGCCCAGCAGGTGGAGGCTACGGTGGCCGTGAGCAGTATGCCACTGTACTTCAGCCTAGGTGACAGAGTAAGACTCCTACTCAAAAAAATTAAAATAAAGAAAGACAAGTCCCCATTCCTACTTCTTCTATGTTAAAATTGCTTTGATTATTCATGAACTTTTATCCCCCCATATAGCATATGTTTTCCAAGTTTATGATAAATCATAATTGGAGCTGCATTTAATTAAACAGGGAAAATTGACATCTGTACAGTGATACCTCATTCATAGATCTGACCTGACTGTATAGCTGGTGAGCAAAAAGGGAAAAATGTGGCTTAGTCATAATGTCATAATGTGCATGCAGGTGGTTGGAGCAGTAGCAGATGAACTGGAGAAGCAGGCTGAACCAATTTGTAAACCATGTTAATAGAAATGGGCTTGAGATGGGAAAGGTCACACAACTCAGGTTGCTTTGTGTGTTTATAGGAAACCTGTTTACACATTGGGACCATCATCTTGAAGTATGGTGTGACTCAGAGAAACCCCATAACATTCCTGAAGATGCATAACAAAGAGAAAAACCTGGAGGGCCCTGGCCAGCCCTCTCCCCCCTATCAAATGTGGGGTTGTGTGCCTTCCCATTTTCTAGGAACCTCCCAAAGGATAATTTCACAAGAAGGTATCAAAATTAAGGTGGCAGCAATTTGATCCAGCGAAGACTTTTTAAAAGAACCTACTGCATGGCAGGCACAAGGCAGACCACAGGAAGCACCAAAGTAGACTATGGCAGAGTCACTGCCCTTTGCAATCACAATCTGCATTGAGGGAAAGACAGAAAGGAACAGTTAATTTTAACACACTATGATAGTATCATTTAGTACATGCCATATCAACAGAAAGCACTGTGGGAGCTTAAGGAATCTAGGCACTGATACCTGAGAGCATTACTAACATGGATACAGAAAGACCCACACATGAGCAATCAGGGAACCACAGGAGTTGTAAAGGCATGTTACCTGTTCAACTCATAGGAAAGAGATACAGGTTGATGTCAGCGCAGATGGATAAGTGGATAAAAGGATGGGTGGTTGGACAAATCAGTGTATGCTGATGAAACAAAACATTTGATTTCCAATTTTCTGGATTATGGAAGACTGTTTAGTCACCACCGTGTTCTCCTGTGTTGTAATAAAAAGAAGCACTAGGTGGCATTATACCACCAAAAGTCCTCACCTTTCAGAGCCTCTAGGAGAAACACCCAGCAAGATAGTGTCAGCTCCTAATTTAGACAAATAAGAGTGCTTCTATTAATCTCATTTCTCATTATACCCACTTAATTTATTTCTTGAGCAACTGCTATATGCAAAGCCCTATGCTGCATGCTACAGGGGAAAAAATACAAAAAAATTCTCCTCCCTCAAAGAGCATAAGGATAAACAAAACATAAATGCCAAAACTCATCCATGAAAAATTTTAAAAGCAGTCCAGGCTGGTGTGGTGATTCATGCCTGAAATCCCAGTGCTTTGGGAGGCTGAGGACAGAGAATAGCTTGAGGCCAGGAGTTAAAGACCATCAGCCTGGGAAACATAGTGAGACCCCATTTCTACAAAATTAATTTTTAAAAATTGTAAATAAAAATGAAAAAAATAATTCCAAGCAGAATGTAGTAAGTACTGAAATCAGGATATCAGGACATAAGGTCCTGTGTAAACTGACACTTTTGACCTCCTGGTGCCTTCTCAATCACTCATTCCTTGTTACACTGGCTTCTTCCAATTCCCTGATTATGTCATGCTCTTCCCCACTGCAGAGATTTACAAATGCTAATTTATCTGTCTGGAATGCAGAAGGGTCTTTCCAGAGACCCTCTCTCTTCACCTGGCTGACTTTCATCCAACCTCCCTTTAGATCTACCTAGCTCTTGAACCATCCCACAATGGTAATTAATGAGCTGTTCATGTAAATGATTGATTAACACCTATCTTCCCCACCAGGTTGTCACACAACAAGAGGACAAGGACCCCATATATCTTCTTCACCACTGCTTCAACTGGTGTTATGGACTGAATTGTGTTCCCCCAAAACTCATATGTTGAAGCCCTAACTCCACCCCCCATACCTATGAACGTGACTATATTTGGAGATAGGGTTCTTAAAAGGTGATTAAGTTAAAAAATAAGGCTGTTGGAGTGGACACTAATTCAATCCGTCTGGTGTGCTTACAAGAGGAGGAAATTTGGACACATGGACAAAAGGAATGTGTACACAGAGAGGAAAGACAGCAAGAAGAAGGTTATCTGCAAGCCATAGAAAGAGGCCTCAGAAGAATTCAAATCTGTTGCCACCTTGATCTTAGACCTCTAGCCTCCAGAACTGTGAGGGGGTAAATTTTTTTTTTTTTTTTTTTTGAGTTGGAGTCGCACTCTGTCGCCCTGACTGGAGTGCAGTGGCCGCTCCCGGCCACCACAGCCTCGACCTGCTGGGCTCCAGCGATCCTTCCGCCTCAGCTTTCCATGTAGCTGGAACTACAGGCACGGACTACCATGCCCGGCTAATTTTTTGATTTATTGTAGAGATGAGGTCTCGCCAAGTTGCCCAGGCGGGTCTCGAACCCGCGGGCTCAGGCAATCCACTCACCTCAGCCTCCCAAAGGCGTGGGATTACAGGCTGAGCCACCTAGTCCGGCAAATTTTTGTTTTTTAAGCCGCCCAGTCTGGTTCCTCATTATTGTAGCTCTAGGAAATTAATATAACCAATCAGCACTCTGCTCAATAAATAGCTGAAGACCAGTGAACAATGGCATATTAGGGAAAGTCACATAGTAGACATTATTGAACTTGATCTTAAATGGCAAGTGTGAGTTAAACACTTGGAAAAAATAAAAGGAATCTCAAGTATGGGAAATAGAACTAGGCAGATATCAAGGCAAGAATGTAAAAATCCTGTTATATGGAGGGTGAGGGCCTATCAGTAAAAACACTAATGTTGGTAAGAGGGTGTGGGTGAATGGTAGGGAGTTTTGGAAGAATAGCAGAAAAGTGGCTGCAAACTCAAGAGCTGGGAACACCCAAGTTCTCACACCCAATATTCTGTCAGATAACTCAAAAAAATGATCTTGAGCTGTAATACTTCTGCAAAGCTCCTTATTCAAACCTAAATATAATAGCCTCTTGTCATACCTTCCTAGGACCTCTCAGCTGTGTGCTGTAACACAGTAGTAAAAGCAGTATTATGTACACAGCTCACCTCTTCAACAGCACTCAGTGAGGATATGAAGCAAACCTCCAAAAAAAGCAGAAAGAAACACTAACTCGCAGCCCTTCATGTAAATTCCAAGCCTGTAATGCAAAGCAACTGCGTCCTAAAAGAAACCTACTCCTCTAACCTACTTCTGTGGATCAGAGAGATCGTGGATGCTATTTTGGAAGAGCCTCCATAATCCACAATCTCCTCCTCTGGGTCTAGTAACTCCCACCCAGAAGTATATGCTTCCCTGAAGCTATGACGTTCTAGGCAGCCCTACCTGACTCCCCAGGGACATAGCTGAATAGTCAAGCGTAGACACCTGGGCCACATGAAGCCAGTTCTATTATTTTTTCTGGGAATTGTAACTGCAACCAAGAATTGCAAGTCAATCATTGCTGGAGCCTGGAACTGAGCATGTGAAGCCCAGGAGAGGCAGAGAAAGGCAGGCCTACATACAGGGAAGAATAAAGCAAATGAATGAGGAGGGGACTCCGCAGACCCAAAGGAGAGAGAGAAAGATGGAAAAGCAGGCTTCTTCTTTGGTTTCTGATGCATTTTCTGACCATTGAAACAGTTCCTGGGGAGGCCCAGCAACACCTTCTATTAGGTTCTACCAGATACTTTGTATCCTCCTTTCAAAATCACCTTGAAACCCAATTACCATCATGTTGTGACCCCTGGGGGACAGGC